CCAGCAGAGATGTGCTGAAAGTGCTCAGTGCAAGTTTCAGCCCTTGACGATGAATTGTTTCTAATTTTTTTGAGGTATGAATGTCTTGCAGCTCCATAGATGATAGATAGTAAAGTTTTGATCTGACAATTGTTCTATAAATTTTTAGAAATGATTTCTTATCAGCTCCCCAATCAGTATGAGCTATAATTCTGAATAGGTTGATTGCCTTGCTATATAATGCTCAAGTAATTTATATGGGGGATGAAAAACAATTTCTTATCTAATACTCAGAAACTTATATTTATTTGTTATTGGTATTTCCTTTCTATTCAGCATTATACATGGAGCATTGTGCATTTTGTGGAGGTTGCAGAAATGCACACACTTTGTTTTGGTTTGGGAAAACCAAAAACCATTTTCTTCAGTCCATTGGCTGATCTTATTTAAACACAGTTGAAATTTGCGCTTTGTGAAGTGTAGTGCATGTGTTTTGATCGGGAATATAATTAAAAAAAAATTATTCTCGTACAGTGAGCAATCAATTCCAGTATTGATGCTTTTAATGTTATTAATTTTGATATTGAAAAGGGTTACTGCCAGGATGCTTCCTTGGGGAACACCATTTTCCAGCTATTTTAAGTCAGAGAGTGGTTCTCACACATACTTTAAACTTCTGATTTTCTAGGAAGTTTTAAATAAAGAGTGGCATTCTGCCTTTCAACCAGAGATCTCAAAGGTTTCTCATGATTCTATACCTCCATGTGGTGTCATATGTCTTTTCCAAGTCGAAGAAAACTGCAACCTAATGCTCCTTTTTAATGAATGCCTCTCTTATGAAGGTTTCTAGTCTGATCAAATGGTCTGTTGTACTTATTTGTTCCTGAAACCTGATTGCAATTTTGATATTAAGTTTTTCGATTCAAGTTACCACATTAACCTGTCAGTGATCATCCTTTCTAATACTTTACAAATACACCTTGTTAAAGCTATTGGTCTATGATTTGATGGATTTGACGAATCAGTTTTCGGTGTAGGGGTGTTTGTTTTGTCATTGGAGTCTTTACTGAGTTTGTGTAAGAGTATTATTGTGGTTTGTTTCCAAAGATTCTTGTCATAGATATCTAGAAGATATTCAGAGGATACTTGAGGTAGGTAGTTTAAGAATGCATAAGGAACATCAGGACCGGCTGATGTATTGCGTGGTTTGGTAAGTGATTCATTGAGTTCTGCTCTTCTGAAGGGTTCATTATAGCTTTCTGTATTTTTAGAGTTGAAATTGGGTTTTTTCTTTTCTTCAGTTTTTCTAAAATTTTTCAGTTTGATTTTTCAAGGCAGAATTCTGTGAAAAATTGTCTGCTACGTCATTTCTGTTTGTGATCTTTGTGCTTTTTTTGTGAGATGTCTTAGGGGAGTACTATTATTCTTGCCAGATATCTTTTTCATGTTCCATATGATTTTGACTTAGTGTTTGAGTTTACTTTCGATATATAGTTTTCCCCCATGTGGTTCTTTTGGATTCCTTGATAGTTTGTCGAGCCTTTGCTCTGCTATTTTTAAATAAGTTTAGGTTTTCTTTAATGGGTTTTAAATTAAATTTTCTAAGGCTGGCATTCCTTGTCAAACCAGGATTCGTAGTATTTTGTAGGAGTAGATGATTTTGGTATGTTCTCTTCAGCTATAGATAGGAGTGTTTTAGTGAAGTATGCCAGGTGATCTTCATTATTAATATTTGTTCCTGGTATTAGTTTTGATTTACATTGTGGAATTGTATTCAGTTAACACTTTTTAGATTCCACTGTGGGATATTCTCAGAGTTGAGGACCTGTATTTTCTAAAATGATTGGAAAGTGGTTGCATCCACAAGTATCATCATGCACTCTCCACATGTAATCCATGTATATGGTTGGATCACAGTCAGATCTCTTGCTAAATATGATCTGGTTGCCAGATGCAGGGATGTGTATTCATCTTATTGCTGAAGAGGCAAAGGTTGTTTTATTTATGAGGTTTTCTATAATCTGACCTTTTTTTGTTTGTCTCTTTGCTTCCCCATAATTCATTTTGGCAGTTGAAATCTCCCAATAAAATACAAAGGTTTTGGGTGCTGTTTTATTAAAGGATCTATTTCTGATTGGATGATGTTGTCACTTGGTGGTATAGAAATGTTTTATTAAAGGATCTATTTCTGATTGGATGATATCACTTGGTGGTATATAAATGGAACAAATAGTTATTGTTTTGTTTAGTGTTGCTGACACTGCAATTGCCTGCGTGTTTGTGTCCAGTGGGATCTGGCTTTGTGGAATTTTGTTATTGATAATTATCAATGTTCCACCTGATGCTCTATCAGTATTTTTGTTTATATAATTCTATGAGATGTAATTCTTTGTTGATGTCATTATTTTCCTCAAGAAATGTCTCTTGTAAGCATATTACTGCCAGGCATATTCTTATAAGGAGAGCCAGTTCACTGAGATTTGCTTTTGCACATCTAATAGTCCACCGTATTATTTTATTAGACATAGTTTTACTTTATTTTGATTTGTGATGTGATTTAGTGTTGACATCTATTTCTTCCAGTCTTTCGAATGTTTGTTCTTTCGGTCAAAATAGGGTGTCCTTTTTTTTGACAGTTTTTGTTTCTTTGGGGTGGCTTCTTTTGTTGTTTTTGTTTTGGAAAATCTTCCATTTGGTTTCAGTGGACATATAGGAGATCACCGAGATTTGCTGTTATGGACATTTTTTGCAGGTGATCCTTGTTTATTTGTTGGTTTTGTTTCATTGGTTTCAGGTTTTGGTTTATTTTTGTTTCTTCTTGAGTTTCATAATAGACAGTTCTTAGGCGTTTTTGGAAGCTTGACCACTTGTCAACACTCAACTGCAACAGTCTCAACTAGTTCAGGTTATCTGGTTCCTTGTTTAGTTTCTACTTGGTTGGTCACATTTGTCTTTTTTTTTTTCCTACCCTGGCATATGTTTGTGTTTTCATATAGGACTCAAAAATTTTCCTACCTTCTGAGAAGGATATATTTTCTGTTTGCTTTACCTGCAGTATTTCACTTTACCTCCTGTACACATCACATATTTCTGAAAATTCAGGGTGGTCCCCATGACAGTTTGCACATTTTTTTCTCATTCTAGCAATCATCTTCAGCTTGGAATGGGTCTTTCTCCATATATGCCACACACTTATCCTTTACATCCTGTGGTACCCAAATTTCTGGCATTTGAAGCACCACAAGGGAGCTGATATGTAGAATTCTACTTTTTTTGATAGTGAAACCTATTTTGATTTCTTTGAGAATTATAGATGAATTAAATGTCAGTATGTATGTGTTCATTAAGTTGCTTTTGCCATTCCTTCTAATACTGAGTCTCTTGTGTTCAGTAATGCCCTTCTTATATAGTGCCACTTTGATCTCCTCTTCTGTTGCCAAAAATCAATTTTTGACTACTTATTACACCTTTACAAGTGTTCAGTCATTCATGTGAATAAGATTTACATTTGTAATTGTGAAACATTTCCATTTTAGTAGGTTTTCTGCCTGTTTTTGCCTGTTCACTTCCACTAAAAGATTTGATTCCGAGTTTTTAACAGATTTTGGGTTTGATCTGCTAGTTATTACCCTTTCAATGAGAAAGGGTGACAACGTGCCGAGTGGTAGACCATCAAGTGATTCTATCCTTACATATTTTGCATACTTGTTCTCTTCAGTCTCAGAGTCTGATTCAGATAGATTATGATTTTTTTTTTTTAAATAAAAGAAGCCATAATTAGTGTTCGTTTTTTTTAGTGCTCCGCCACCCACCAACTTGTGTTGGGAATTTACCAGTGGGAGGGGGAGGAGAATCCATTCACCCTGGTTGAGACATGGATACACTAACGGTATACTCTAGTTGGGAGTAAGACCCCAAGCTTCTGCCAATTTCAGGTTTAATGTGCCATGCAACTTAACAGTAGTCAAAGCACTAATCTCTCAAAGCAATTGAACCTCAGCCACTGCCTTCTAGCACTCATAATATCAAAAGGTTTGGGTGTTTGCCACAAGGGCATATTGAAGAATACGGTCAAGATTAAACATATAGGTGGCTAGGGCTTCACACAACCAGCCGAGTGATTGGATTGGCCCTGTGTTAGGAATCAGAAGTATCTAACCCCCACTGCTAAAGCCCTCAACCACCAGGACCCTATCCCAGGCAAACAGGTGGCCTCACTTTCATTTTTTTTAGGGTTGACAGAGAGAAACCTCTGCAGAGGTGCAACCAGTGTAATCTGATGCCCTGGCTGACAGGGCAAGAACTTTTTTAGTGAAAAAAAAAAAAAAAAAAAAAAAAAAGTTTAGCTAATTTACTTGAGAATACAATAAATTCTTTTACAAAAAAATGTATTGCTGGTAATTTTTTTTTTTTTTTACTATGGAAATGTATTGCTGGCACCTTCACTATAAAAATGTATTTCTACACTTTCATAGTGCTTTGACCCCAGTTTGGGGTCTAACTATATGCCCATAGCTGGGACCTTAACTGGTCAGGGTGGACTTGGGGACAACAATTCAGAGGTTGTTCCACAATCCTTAAAACCTCCTAATGAGAGGCCTTGCTGCTGGACTGTCATACCCAAGTAAATTTTATATAGCGTTTTTTTTTGTTTTTTTTTTTAGACAAAGCATGAGCAAAAACAAATTCACAGATTTGGATAGGGGGAAAAAAAAAAAAAAAGAATATTGTCAAAATCTGCGAAAATTTTTCATTCTTTAATAGTCAGTTGTGCTCAGTTTCATTTGTAACGTATATAAATGTAGGTTAAAAAAAAGCAAATGTTAATAAGATAGTGAGTGTCACAAACCAATGCCTGGGGCTCCCAATCAGCCTCCACCCTGACGGAGGAGATTGGGGGCAGTATGCACTGGCCGTGCCATATAACATCAGAAGGGAGCTAATAACATTTGAGCTATCTTGCCGTATATGTGGGCATGTTTGGCTGGTTTAAGAAGAAAACTTGAAAATTAAAAAGATACCTTATTGTTGTATATGGTTTGACAGGCTCATTATGTGTAGTATCAATGACAGGAGTATCAAGTCGTCCAACAGAATTGTTGCTGCCACCACCTCCACCACCAAAACCAGGAGACCAAGCACTACTTCCTGTACCCCCTTTGGTCTTCATCTTACGCAGCTCTTCTGCTTTCTTCAGCATGTGGTCTCGAGCCTCTTTTTCTTGGGTCTGTAAATATATTAAATCATGTCAATGCAACTTCATACATATTTATAAAGACTTCAATTATTTCAATAAAAATTCTCTTTCAATTTATCAAAAACAGGATTTTCATAGAGATTATTGAGTGCTAAATCCTGTAAAGCAATTAAGATGTATTTTCAAGAGGAAAATAAGTGTTTAGCACCTAGATTAATATTACATTATTAGAATAGAAGTATCCTATGATAGTCTTTTCTCATTTTTGGTTTTGTCAATATCAATTTTTGAAGCCATAATATTTGGCTCTTCAGTACTTGCAACTTATTTCAGCTGTTAAGGAGTCATTGAAAACTAGTGGACATTCCCAATCTTATCCAACATTGGTTTATCCGATTAGAGCATGTATCCAGATATGCTGGCAAAATTTGGCAGATTAAACAATGTTGCCATATTTCCAAGATGTTCATGTAATATACAATATGCCAAAATAAGATCACCTCTCTGGCATCAGTATTCAAAAGAACATAATGAACTTATAAGTGTTACAAGGATGCATTTCTATAATAAGGGATTCCTTTGAGTTCTACTTGTTATTACAAAAAAGTTTTCATTCATGAAGTAGTTGTAAAATAGAGAAATTAGAAATAGAATGTTTGGAAGATTCTAGATCATTCTAGCATATTCGAGAAAAATCTAGATGATTCGAGAAACATCTAGAAATATGCAAATTAGGTGTTAGCCCCCTATAAAAATGGGATTTTGGAAAAGGGTTGTCAGTTGATGAAAAGGAATTTCTGTTGTTATCAACTCCAGCTTTTGATTCAAGGACTATTATATCCAACCAAAAGAATCTATAAAAAGTTGCCGAACAACCAAAACCCAAAAGAGAATTTCATGGAACAAATTAGGTAAATAGAATTTTGACTAATTTTCATTGACCAAACTAAAAATTAATATTTATTTACACACCTTTGGGGATTTCCAAATATAGCACTTAGATTACTTCACTAGCCCTAAAGCGATAAAGATATTTGACTCCCTTTCCTTCTCCCTCGTAACACTTGCGAGTAATTCTGTATTTTCTGTTTCATAGGCCACAATTGTTTATCGTGTATATATTTTATGTTGTATTTTAGTAAATTAAATATTTGTTTGTGATTTAGCTCTGTGTTGTAGTAAATCATTTTTTTCCTTTGTTACAATTATCAACACATAACATAAGCTATATAACCTTAGAGTAGTCAAATGTTCATAATTCTTTTACCAAGGAGTGCAATTCTGAAGTGCATTGAATAATTTTGGATGATATTAAAAAGGTAATCCATGTTCTTCAGTCTAGTTCCAAATTCAAGAAAGTCTTCCAGAAGCATTCAATTAATTTTAATAACAAAAATTAAACTCACTGTTGATTTGAAAGACCTTTATAAATGGGGGTTAGAAAGACCTTTATAAATGGGGGTTAGAAAGACCTTTATAAATGGGGGTTAGAAAGACCTTTATAAATGGGGGGTTAAAAGACCTTTATAAATGGGGTTAGAAAGACCTTTATAAATGGGGGTTAGAAAACCTTTATAAATGGGGGGGTTAGAAAGACCTTTATAAATGGGGGTTAGAAAGACTTTTTGGGGGGGATAAATGGGGGTTAGAAAGACCTTTATAAATGGGGGTTAGAAAGACCTTTATAAATGGGGGTTAGAAAGACCTTTATAAATGGGGGTTAGAAAGACCTTTATAAATGGGGGTTAGAAAGACCTTTATAAATGGGGGTTAGAAAGACCTTTTAAATGGGGAAAGACCTTTATAAAAGTTAGAAAGACCTTTATAAATGACCTTTATAAATGGGGGTTAGGGGTTAGAAAGACCTTTATAAATGGGGGTTAGAAAAGACCTTTATAAATGGGGGTTAGAAAGACCTTTATAAATGGAAAGACCTTTATAAATGGGGTTAGAAAGACCTTTATAAATGGGGGTTAGAAAGACCTTTATAAATGGGGGGACCTTTATAAAAGAAAGACCTTTATAAATGGGGGGACCTTTATAAATGGGGTTAGAAAGTTAAAGAAAAGACCTTTATAAATGGGGAGTTAGAAAGACCTTTATAAATGGGGAGTTAGAAAGACCTTTATAAATGGGGAGTTAGAAAGACCTTTATAAATGGGGAGTTAGAAAGACCTTTATAAATGGGGAGTTAGAAAGACCTTTATAATTGGGAGTTAGAAAGACCTTTATAAATGGGGGGGAAGACCTTTTAGTTAAAGACCTTTATAATTGGGAGTTAGAAAGACCTTTATAATTGGGAGTTAGAAAGACCTTTATAAATGGGAGTTAGAAAGACCTTTATAAATGGGAGTTAGAAAGACCTTTATAAATGGGAGTTAGAAAGACCTCTTGCCATTGGGTTGGGTATGACAAATGTGGAATCGCTAATGTTTTTAATAAGTCATTCTTTCAAGAAATGTTTCTGACAAAAAAAAAAAAAAAAAAAAAAAAAAAATCAAGCTTATTTTGTACTGGAAAGATATCTTGTAAATTGAATTTCACTTTGTCAATACCTAGTAAATAGTCACAATTTATCTTTAAATAGACTAATCCAGTGCAATTCCTTATAGGAGTATAAAATTGAGTACCATTTCAAAATACACCCACTTTTCATCTAGGTGTATGTCAAGTGAGCTTGTGGCACACAAGACCTCTGGTGATGTTTGCAATAAAATTGTTCCATGGGGTGAGGTGTTTGGTAACATGCCCAACCTCAGTACTCTGAGGAACAGTTGGTTTTCTGTCATATCCAGGTGCATATCAAAGTCCATTTCAAAGTTGATTTGTTGTGCATCTGTACTATTATACATGCAACAATTAATAAACACCATGATTACTCAATACAGGCAATATTGAGTTTAATCTTTATAAAACTAAGTCTAGCACTAAAAATCCTCAATTGTGCAAGAAGCAAGTATGACTTAACATGTTAATGCATAATAAATTCCAGAAACCAGCTCTTGAAGTATTGAAGTCACTTAAGATAAAAATGATAGAACACTGTAACAGCCAACATCAGACATGCATAGATACTTAAAGGAGATTACTCTGAAAGTTTATGATAATTGGCTCTGTACTATGACACAACCACTATTTTTATTTCTTTAACTATGAACCTAAGTCTGGGAGTTGCTACTCTGAATATAGGCAGCTATTAGTAAGTTTGGTGTTACGTACAATGATATTAAGATTTTAATCATCAACAAAATCTTATTCATTAAACTAATTTCTCAAATTGAAGCAACATTCCAGCTGATCAGAAAGCTAATTTCTGAGCTTTAGAACTGAAAATCAACCCTTTCTTGCATGCATTTTAACTGCTTTAAAAATCTTATTTAACCACTCTGTTAGTGACATACTACAGTCAGTCATAAGGCTGGTAACTTGAAGTTTCAAGAACCACTAAGGGTCTGGCTTTCTCACCTTTTACCTCAACCTATAACTATTTCATACTACTGAATGGTCAGCTGATAATAGCTTGTTAATGCAAGTTCAAGAAAAATTCCAAATTTTGTTGAAGCCACACACACACTTTTTCCCCTGCCATACTATACTAAAACTCAATCTATTTACCATAGAACTACACAAAATATTAACTTATTTCATGATTCAATCCATTAATGTCACTTGAATTTCTGCTTTCAAAGCTCATAGCCAATTGTTTTCTTTTTGCTTAATAACAGGATACTGTTCCTTATCTGATACAATTATACAACTGATTATTTTGCTCAGTCTTACTCTGATGACTATTTGTATTATGAATTAGAAGCTTGATGATTAAGAAGACTACTACATTTATAAATCTTTTAAACACAATGTAGGAGACCCTATTTATATGAGCACTGTTAAACTAATTTTTTAATCCATTAGTTGTACCATACTTATATTAAAATAATTCTAAAATTATTTGAAAATTTTGCTTTGATATTTTTCAACTGATAAATTTATGGTTAAAGAATCAAGAGTTGCAAATATATGAAAACACATGAAAAATATTGTTTCATTACCTGTCTTACAGCCATGAACACACGTTCTTCATGGGAATCCATTTCAGTGAATGTTCGAATTTGGGCAATATTTACATTTTCTCTGTAACCAAGAGCAACAATTTCATCAAAGGCAAAGATGAGAGAAAAGGCTTGATCAATTATCTCACTCTCATCCATATTACGACAATATTCAGGAATCTAGAGAGGAAAAAAAAAAGAAAAGAAAATGCCAATTCTTCAATCTTAAATTATAATTCTTTGAACAAATCTTAAAGAAAATCTATATATCTAAAATCCCTTATATCAATTCTTTCCCATAAGAAATGGAATGTATGTAGTATAATACAAAAATTATTTTTGTTTTATGTAACAAATAGCTTTTATGACAAAATATGCAAGAGCCAAGTAGTATTTTGCATTTTTTTTTTTATTCATTGATGTTTGAAAGTAATTACAATGTTAATTTTTCGTCACATCTTACAAATGCATGATACCAAGACATTGATCTATTAAAAATTAATGAGGCTAGAAAAATAATATTTGAATGCAGGATGTAAAATAAAGTAGTTGCTTTTAGACTTCCAAATATAGTTCAAAAGCCTTAGATTCTTTTTTCTTTTTTTCATTATATACAATAAATCAAATTGAGGGATACTTGTAATTTCATCAAGTGCAAGAATCTCATTATGCTGGCTAGTAAATATACAAGGCAGCACTTGATCTTCAGTATTAACAGTTATTACAAATTGAGAGAAAAAAAAAAAAAAAAAAAAAAAAAGGATTTAAACTAGCTTTCTTTTTCTTACCAGTCTTTCACTTATAAAATCTTTATACAAATGAAAAAACATTTTTTTCAAACTAGTTCTGAATAACAAGTATAGTTTATTAGTGTTTGTTATTTTGTAATGTAAAGCATGAAGAGAAAAATCACATACAACTTTAGCAAAAAGTCTAAGAGTTTCCAAATCTTCAAGGATGTTACTGGCTTTGGTTGTGATGAGAAGCATGTACAGTTTTTCAAGGGGTTGGTAAACATAACGAACACTTTCCGTCTCCACAAAAGTGTGTTGCTTCCCTCCACTCATTAATTTGGGAAATGCAGCCAAAAGCCCTTCAATCCGAGCCCGGGTCATTTCAACAAATTGGCGGGAAATGATAGCTGTGAAAAAAAAAGAAAAGAAAAAAAGTTATATCACATAAATGACAAGCAATTAACCAGGTATCAAACATATTAGGGACATTGGAAAATATATATATTTGTAAAAGGGGCAATATGAATAAAAACAAAAAGAAAACTTAGCTGTTGTGTTCTCTGAGGAACAAGACAAATGCAAGGATTTTATTTTGTAACAGAGAACCTACCAACAAGAATGACTTGGACAATTTTTATTCCAACCACTGTAACAAGATCAAATCTGGAATAATTACAGGATTCTATTTAAGAGCACTAAGAAACTGCACCCCCTCAAATACTTACCCAAAGACAAAGTTACATAGAAAACATTTTCAAAACAATTTATCCAATCAAAACATCAAAATAATTACAACCACATCCAAAATTATTGTGGATATGATCAGAACCAAAACATATCCATATCAATAATAATTCTGAAGCAGGGTTTATAGAAAATTGCCAGAACTGTACCTTACAATACATTGGGGAAACTTGCAGAAATTTAAAAAACAAAATCTAACTATGAGCACAAAAGGGATCTTATATACAAGTTCTCAAATGCATTAGTTATATATAGAAATAAATTCAACCACAGCTTTGATCTAAAGAATGTCACTTATTAAAAGAGAAAGTAAATTCTTGAGAGTGCCACCATCAAATCTTATAAAAATAAGAATCTGGACCCCAGATTTTTTTCCAACATCAACTCCTGAAAGAATTACCCCTTTCCCAAGCCAACATACAAATTTTTTGTCAAATGAACTAGATATTGATGCTAATTAGTACATACATATATATATTTTTTTAAACATTTTCTGATAACGTAATTCTTAAAATGATGAGAGCAACAAAATGTTTTAACTAACAAGTGGAGACATTTGTATTTGACACTTCACTGTTAAAATAACATTTAATAGGACTAAAATTTAAAAAAAAAATCTTCAGACAAAAATTTTCCTGTATGGATTGGTAGGGAGACCAATTCCCCCCGCCCATTTAAATAAACACTGCATTAATCATTTTGAGGTCTTTCAGATACTTTTTTTTTTTTTTTTTACTTGTCCTTCAGTTCTTTCTTTCACTTACTCTTTCCCTTTTTTTTTTTATTAGGTAATGGGATGTGTGGATGACATGAAATAGACATCAACATCACCTTACCAGACACTTTTTTGATTCATTTGTTTTGAAATTTATTTTTGTATTTCATTTTAAAAACCTTTGTTGTGTCAATTTATTGATATAATTCTCTAAAAATAAATTTTTTTAATTGAACTATGATTAAATGTAAATACTGTTTTTCTTGTCATAATTGTCAAGAAATAGTTTCTTAATTGAATTGTTTTTGCATTGAATTTACAGATTTAAAAAAAAAAATTTTCCTGTCATAATTCTCAAAATATAAAGTTTTTTTTTAATTGAACTGTGATTAAGTGTAACAGGAACCCACCCAAATCACCACCTGTGGTCCCAAGGAATCGCATTAAAAACCTATCACCATCACTGCTTTATAATCATCTACTTGTCAACTGGTTTTTAACAGAGTTATACTTCTGTTCTCATACATATTTGGACAGTATTGAGCTATTCTCATATTGTCTATTATTGAAAGAAGTTTTGTGATTGAAATTGCACCTAAATATATCATGTCAGGTTAACATTCTGCTATTACCATAGGTTAGTGTATTGTTTTTCTGTAGAACAAACCCACCATTGAAAATTTTTCCCCTTTGATTTAAATTTGAACAAGGGAATGACCCCTACCCAAAATATAGAAGGAGAAAGCCAGAAAATGGGAGGTCACATTGGCAAGATCAAAATGAGACAATATTCATGTCAAGTCAAGCAAGAAATCACCTATCAGTGGGTAGCGCCTTACAATACACATTTGTTGCAACAATTCAACTGTCATATCAATGTTGAAATCTGCTCATCAATTCATTCAATCAAGTATTGCATCAAATACATATCATAGGAGTCAGATCAAGCTGTTGCATGAAACCCCAACTGAAAATTTTTTCCCCTTTGATTTAATTTCAATAAGAACAAGGGAATGACTCCTATCCAAAATATAGGAGAAAGCCAGAAGATAGAGGTCACATCTGCAAAATCATTGAGTAATATTGAAATGCATTATTTTTCTCTACAAATTATAACAATCATTTAAAATCAATCATTTTCTTCAAAAAAAAAAAAAAAAAAAAAAAAAAAAAAAAAAAAAAAGAAAAAAAGTGTCATGCAGCAAGGTGCAGGTAATTCAGCTAGTATATTGATAAAGGCAGTATATGACAGTTTAACAGTGCATTGCATGTGGGAAGATGGTTGGACTCAAAAATGAGTGATGAATATTGATGGGGAACTTACACGGGTGCTGGAGTTCCTTGCTGAGGCTACAAGAAAACATTATGAAGTTGCTAAAAAAAGAAATTTGTCTACAACAGCAAAAATAAAAATACAAATTGATGGATGCACAGACTGATGTCTCAGTAGATTTGGAATATAATAGTTTTCTACTGACCCACACCCTGGTCTGGTTATCTGGTCAGTTAATTAAAAAAAGGTTGTCTTTGAATTAATGGTTCATTTTTAAGATAAGATTGATTAGAAAAGCATGAATATGTAAGAGAATGCGTAATACATGGCTGAATAACTAATATATTTCCTATCAAAAAGTCAGATGCCAAGGTTTCATTGACCTCTTGATTTCAACATAATTGACTAAACTAGAATTGATAACAGAAAAGAGGAAACATTAAGAAGCTTGGGGTAGAAGCTGTATCTGCATAAATCTTGCACTCCAATACCAATGAAAAAAAAAAAAAAAAAAGTCTAGTATTGCAGGAGCAGCAAGTTAGCAGTAATGTTGTTTCAGTGCCAAAAGCCCAGTATTATTTTATGAAAGGCACTGCTGCCATTTTTGCTGCAGTAGTTGTATAAATAATGTATGTAAAAGAAAGAAAAATATCTTGACATAATAGCATAGAAAAAAAATATTTGATTCATGGTAAGGATTGTAAACAAAGTTGTTCTAATATTGACAAGGGGATAAATATTAACATAAAATTTCTTCAACATAATTATCTTCATCAGTTTTTGTATTATGAAGGTAATAATCTGGTAAACTGGTGAATTTATATTTGTCAGGTTTCATGGCATGTATGCTGCATTTTCACTAAAAATATGAAAATAAGTACTTTAACAATTATTGCTTATCTACACATCTCTTACAAATAACAATACATAATCATAAAATATATTTATAGAATACACATTTTAAGTTAACTTATATTGTCTATCAGGAAATTAAACATAACTCAAAAAATTATTCTTTTAATTTACAAAAGAAACAAATAGAATCAGAAACAATACAGATGATCCAGGCTAATTTTTCTTACCTTTGAAAATTGTGATAATTTTATCAAAGCAAAAACAGATTTTCTATAAAAAAATTGGAAGAAACTTACCTTTCCCAGTTCGATTACACACAGCTGCAGCCAAGAGAACCTACAGATGACAATTTCATAAGTCATTTAAATGTTGTTAAAAGATTCAGAGTGGAAGACAGAATGCAAAGATAAATAAGTCAGAAACATAAGCAGTTTTTTTATGCCTTGCACTTTTAAAAAAACAATATATAGATTAATAGCAATTAAATGTCAACACACTCTGAAGTATTTTATTATTAAAAAAAAATTCAATAATAGAATATTGACTTAGCTATAATTCTCATATTTGACAGCATGTAATAAAATCACGCCAGTAATCATAATCTATTGTTTCAAGACTCATTTCCTTGTATTTCAGTATTAAAACTTTCTAACAAGTGTCATTTTTTTTCACATCAATTCCATTTGGACCAATTTCCTGTTAAGGTATACAGGTAACTCCAACTCCAACTTTAAAAAAAGAAAATGTATATCATATTAGGATCACCATGTTGCTGTCTCCATTTATTTCATCATTTAATAATGTAACATGGCGTATGGACGAAATGGGTTAAAACAAAATGATTTAAAATTTTTGTCAATGAGAATTATTTTCCCAGGATATGGGAACAGATGTGTGAATTTTGTTGAAAAAGTTACACGTGACTTTGCTAGACACAGCTGGTTAAGGTCGGCTGTTGAAAGATGTCCGGCTTGACTATATGCTGAGAAAAATTGTTGGCCAGAAAATTCCCTGAGAAAGAAAAATTAAAAAGCAAAAGATCTGAAAGAGGGGATCTTCCAAAATGGGAAATGTAAAATAGAAAAAAGAAAACGACTGGTTGAATTTTGGAAGATTTGCATAAAACCCACCTAATTGCCCGCACCACACCAGTTGAAAGGGATACCCATAAATACAAGTGCCCACGTGGAGAAAGTTGGGGCCAGCCAGTTGCAGTCGGAGGAGTTAAGAGATTTGATATAACACTGCTTGCCAACCTAATGAAAAGAATAATAATATTAATTATCCGTTGAAGAAAAACTCCGACGAACAATCCTTGTGCCATCCGTGAAAGTACAAACAATAGTACTTGAAGTTAAATCCAGTTGTCACTGAAGAAAAATACTGGGGATAAACCTGGTGTCATCCACAAAAGTACAAACATGAAGCTTGAAATTAAAACCAGTAATTTTTGTTCCATCGACAATTATTAGAACGGGTTGGGAAAAGAAGAAAAAGAACAAAGAAGAAAAGAACTGTAAATATTTTTTTTTTGTTATTCTGATATAAACATCATATCTTGACTCATTCAGGCGTCGTCCATTTTATTTTTCAATTTTGTATGCGCATGTTCAACTCCTTGGTTTAGCGTGGTTAAGATACCCCAGTGGAAATTCAGCTTGAGCCTCTTAAGATCAAAATCACAACATAGGTAAGAGAGGTCACAGTTGAAGAGGTCAACTTTGAAACCAGCTGCTGTGTCAAACACCATCAACAACTCACGAGTGGGCTGATGGCTTGTTCTGATACCGGGATTGATCCTGACTAAGTGGGCAGACTGGGATTGACCCTGACTACCGCCATACCTGGTAACCAAAGCAGACAGGACCCCGAACGACGTCATATATTTGGAGGCCGTGATTAGGCCATGCCCCCGAACGACGTCATAATAATACTACAACTGAGAAAATGTGAAAATTATGAGAAAGTGATGTTTTTCTAGCAAAAAGTGCTCAATAGATAACTAGAGCTATAATATTCAATAAATTAAGAAAAGTTCAAGTGACTTAATTTAGTTAGCTTTTCTTTTTTTTTTTTTAATAAAAAATCTGGCACTGATGAATGTTAAGCCATTTGAACTTTTAATTTATTGAATAAAGAGTACTTTTTAAAAGATTTCAAACAGTCCAAACTCATCCAGACATATTCACACAAAAATCTCTTTACAATTAAAATAGGTAAATCAGTAAACAAATCAATAAAAAGCATAATATCAAGTCATTTTGGACTGAATACTCAGCAAAATGTGAGCAAAAAAATCGTTGTCTTCTATAGATATATAGTTTTGGGGTCCCCAGTTAAAAAAAAAAAATTTCTTTTGTTAATTCAACTGATAGTAAAAATTCACTCATGTTGATTAGACAGGTTTCAGTTTTAACATTATTTCCAATATGTTCATTTTTTAGTAAAATCTGTCATTTGATTTGACTGAAAGGTCAACAGCACATCATAAATAATTAAAAATAGAAAAATAAATTCAACATTTTCAGCATTAAAATTTCTTGATAACCTTGAACCAGTCATAATTTACACCATTTTTCAAAAATCTTTTTACAAATTTCTTATCAACAGTGCTGCATATTAAAGTCTAGCAGTGCAGACCCAGTAGTTAAAGATTGACATGTGGCCATTTAAAAAAATGTTTAGTTATATCATTTTGAACTCAAAACACTGCAAACTTCCGATAACAATAGGGGTCAATAAGGCAAATCACAATATGATCTGTTGTCACATTCATAATAATTATCAACACAATACTAATAAATAAATAGAATAAGACTCAATCCTGGAACAGAAAAAGTGAAACAATTAATTACAGTTACACTAAAAACAAAATACTAATGTAAGTACCTCCACAGAAACACGATACCTAAGGTCTAAAATGAATTTTTGAAAAGGAAATATCTTTCTTGAAGGTTTTCTTTTACTTTTGATTTCAAGCTAATAGATTAAATTTAATATTTCCAATAAGGAAAATATTTTTTTCTGTACTTCAAAACCTATTAAAATTGGCTGAAAGAATGCCTTTATATAATTTTTAACTGCTGAGTAATCTTTAAAATTTAGGATAATATTCTCCACAATCTAATATTTTATTGAATTTTAGGTACTTTGGCTTTTCAATTTACTACAGTTATTGCTAGTTTTCTAATAAAGTCATGCATGGACATCCACATTTACAAAATCAGCACACACAAACCAAAAAATTCAATTTTTCAATTTTTTTTTTTTTTTAAATATTGGGGTCAGGTGACGATGAATTGTAGTAAGCATTTCCATTTTAGTAAATATAGTTTTTACCTAACATTATCACCTAACCATTGCAAATTAATGCAGAAATTTAAAAGATTTAAAACTTTATAAATCATTCTATTATTGTAAAAATTCATTATTCATTGAAAAATTTTTTCCCAAAACACAATGTCCATAATATCTTATTCATAAAACCATGAAAAATAAAAAAAAACTTTTCTAATTAAATAATGTCTTAGTTTTATTGCATTTTTTTATTTTATGATTTAGAGCAGATTTTCAGTAACAAAAAAAAATATTGATCATTTAAATTCTCCAAGGAGTTCTGCATATAACTAGTTAAGTGGCACAAAAATTAATTTCTCAAAGTTTCATAGAATTAGATATGTGTGTGTGTGTGTGTGTGTGTGTTGTATATAACACATGTAAAAAATTTTTTATTAAGATTTTCTTAAAAAACAAAAAAGCTTTATAGACTGCATTAAATATTTGACATTCTCTGCTCAACTCATTTTTGGAAAGAATGTTCACAGGTGATGAAAAATGAATTATTTACATCAATGTGGAATGAAAAAAAGAAGAAAAAAAAAGACACTGCTAAACACTCCAAAAGGTGGCTTGCATCTTAAGGTGATGTGTATTTAATAAGACTGAAAAAGCATTGTATGTTATAAGTTCCTTCTACAAAAATCAGACATTGAATTCAGACAAATAATATTTCCAATTGAACCAATTAAAAGCAGCAATTGATAAAACATCTGGAATTGGTCAATAGAGAGGGTGCTGTCTTTAACTAGGACAATGCCAGACCTCATATCTCTTTGCAGACCCAGTAGAAATTGGTACAGATATTCTCCTGTACCTGCTGTATTTACCTGACCTTGCACCTTTGGATTATCACTTATTTTTGATCCCTACAAAATCTCTTAATGGGAATTATCAGGAAAATTTTAAGACAAGTTCATCTGCTAGGAAGATATTAAATTCTAGGAGGATGGAATAATCAAGCTGCCTCAAAGATAGCAAAAGGTAGTGAACAAAAGTTGTGCATAAGTCTATGTGCAAATAGATAAATATGGTCTTTGAAATTCACTTAAAAACACTTCATACTGGTTGTGACCCAGTAGGTATGAACATAAAAATCAGTTGAAAATCCACTTGTATTCTATTAAGAACTTACATCAAATATCTAAGACATAGGACAAAGAAACACATGGTCAAATAAAGAAACTTCTTTGAACTCAGGGTGTCACAGAAATAAAAACTGATCAATAGCCATATAATAGCTGACAATGTAAACTTGCCCTTAGCATAAACAAAAAGGATTTTTTTTTTAATGTACAATACAACAAAAAAATTATAGAAATAATTTTTGTTTAAGTAATCAATATGAACAAAAAAAAAAATAATGATTGATTTTGATAATATTTTCAAACTTTATCATTGTTTGATTGTTAATCCCTTTTCTTTTGATGGAAAAGGTAAACATTTTGCTATATGTAATTAACATTCACAGATTTATTAAGTTTGAAAGATGTTTTGATAAATTCAACTGAAGTGGTATATTAATAAAAAAAAAAAACAAGTTATAATTAATTCTTTTGAGAATTTAGCAATATTGAATATTAAGTGTTGGTAAAGTTGACAACAATATCTATAGTTGTAACACAGCTTGTGACTGCAAAATTAATGTAAGCATTCATTCTTGCTATGAAACAAAACACAGACTAAAAAAAATAAGAAAGGGTAACCAGTCTTGTAGATCATATTTTCTACTTATCTGAGATAGTGGTCATATTAAAAGCAATGAAGGTTTTTTTCATAAAGGTTATTACTTTGAATGAAGAAATCTGCAATTATCAACAGACTATACTATTAGCTGATGAGAATTTGACAGTTAAATTGAAAAATAAAAGAATTCTCAATATCTAGAATTAATTGCTAATGAAATGAAGATTTGTTTAAAAATACTGTACATTTTTTAATGTGTAGGCAAAATAAATGTCCCTATTTTTGTAATGACTTCTTTTCTATGTAAACAAATGACATTTTATAGGGATTTTAAACTATAAACAAGCTATATCAGAGTACCAATCAGATTCAATTTTGCCCCAATATAAAGTTTACAAACCTTAACTGCTTGAAGTTAAAATATTCTTTATACATTTGCTACTCTTAAACAAGAAATAAAGCTAATTTGGTTACTATTGTTTTATGATCCATGATGAATATTGATTATGAGTATCATATTCATAATCAATGTTCATCATAATTAGCTTTATCATTCTCTGATTTTGTGAACATCAAATATATAAAAGATTAACCCTAAAGTGGTTTGGTATCATGAATTGTTGTTACATTGAAGATCAGATGATCATCTGATGATTTTATTTTATTTTTTTCCCTAACAATACAGGTATCATTCATTCATGATCTAAGTTTAAATGACTAATAAGAAACTATGATTCATGAGGTTACATCATTTCCTGGGGTATTTGTCTGCAAATAAAGCTGGAAGAGCAAGTCAAAGACAGTGCAAGGTCTGCATACTTATTTCTCAAATAAAAAACAAAAAAAAACATGAAAAATAGGGTCAACTTGTTGCAAAGAATGCACAAGAGAGATGTACATTTTTGCTTCAAGGAGTATCATACTGTTAAAAATATTAAATTTAGAAACCTAGCATTTCTTTTATTTCCCATTTTTCTTTATTTTTATAATCTGAAAGTGTTAAAATATTTTTATATAGGTACCTCCAAATATTCAATAAAAAATGAGTATACATAATGAATAAATGCCTCAAACTTAAAAACAAAATTTAGTATAGGCACCTCCACAGATTTGCTTAAAAAAAAAAAAAAAAAAAACATACATGAAAGATTGCCCCAAACATAGAAAGAAATTTTTATTGTCAAAATGTTACAAAGACCAAAAGACTTTTTGATTATTATATTTTTTTTTAGAACTTTCAAAGTTTGTTAAAAATTTTGTTTTTCTTGCATCAACAGGTGACCTTAAATTAGCACAGGATATTTGAGGATCTGATTTGAGTTGAAAAACACTCTTTGATTGGTAATTCTTGCAAAAAATCAGATAATTATTGGATTTTAATGAAACTTTCAAGATTTATTCACAAATTATTTTAGGTTTTTTTTTTCTTTTAAAAAAACATCTTGGTAAATTTTTTTTTTTTATATCTATTACCCCCACCACTTTTATGAAATGTTGAGAAATTAATTTTTGTAGCACTTAATGTTTATTGGAAATATTAAATTAAAACAAAAAAAAAAAAAAAAACAAAAAAAAAAAAAAAAAAAAAGAGGCATAAAAAATATTCTTTAAAAAATGAATTTTCTCATTTTTTTTACCTATTTGGGGTAAACATTTATGCAATCACAATTTATTCCCACCGTTTAAAGATTAAACAACTTAAAAGTTCATACCAAGCTTAGAGAAAAACATTCAGAAAAATTGCTGTGTTATTAAATTTTGAAGAATTAGAACAATATTTAGTACTCTGCTTGGTGAGTTAGATAATTATGCATTTCTCACTGGCAGTAGTGGTCAATATTTGAATGTCCAAATAAAAAAATTTCAAATGTTAATTTTTATGGCAAGCATACCTTTCTCCAGTTGAGAAATTGATGCAATACAATTTTTCTATATTTTTCACTAATTTGGACTTGTATTATACTAAACTTAATGAATATTAGTATTTGTCAGTTTTTTTAAATATGGAAAGATAAATACAGGACTGAAGTCTATATGTAATATAATAGATCATTAGTTTTTATATTTATTTTTTCGGTATATGAAATATATTGATCTGTCTAAAATCAATTTCTTTAGCTTTAAAACAAGTTAACTTTACTTTTTCTATAATAATAGTTACTAGTATCTGTTTTTATTAAAATTTTCTTTTTAACCATTATTGTTTTTTATCAAGAATATTCCAAAACAAATTGATATCTGTAGAAAATTTGCATTGACCCAAATTTTATGTCTGTCTTTATGGAAATTTGTAGGTAATTTTCAACTTTAAAAAGAAAATTCTTCCCTTCTTTAAATTTTAAAAATTTTAAAGTGGAGGAAAAACGTTGTATTGTCTTTCTCTCCTTGAAAATATTTACTTAGGGGACTTTAATACCCAAACTTGCGTTCATAATAGCAGAGTAAAATAAAATGCAAATTTATTTATTTTTTTTTTTTTTTGGAACTTCTCTACTTTTTAAAATTATGTGCGTTAACAAAAAAAAAAAAAAAAAAAAAAAGAATACTTGCTGCATAAAAATGGACACAAAATGAGGGTTCCATTTTTAATGGTAACATCTTAAATTTTATTTTTGTAGCAGCGACATTTCAGATTGGTTGTTATAAATAAACTTTAAAGACTAAAGCAAACAATTAATTTATTAAACAGTGGGTAGTTACGATGCGAATAGTGAAGGTATTGAAAGGGTTGTTAAGATTCAAATTTGCTGACTGAATTATTTGCCCGTTTCCATACTTCACACACATTTCATTTCAACATGTACTTGTTCAATAAATCTGACATTTTTTTTTTAAATTTAAGTTTAGTAGTCTGAAAGCTTAAGATAATTGATGGTATCGTTAAAAAAAAAAAAAAAAAAACATTTAACTGGCAAGGTTTTAAATAAAAACATATGGCTAAAGATTCGTCAAATTAATGCAACTTTTAGGTGATAACTTTTTTAAAAAAAAACCATTTGTCATTGGTTCCATAGTAAAGTCCACTCCAAATAAATGGTTGGTTAGTAAGTACCAAGTAAACATTAACGAAAAAAGATGACGTAAGCTGAAAAAAAAAAACCGTTTTAAGAGTTTTTACATCATTTAAGAATAACATTAACAATCTTAATTTTTGACAAAATATTTTCCCTTTCATAATTAATTTCATACTGTAAAGTTCCCTAGTGAAAAAAAAATTCTAGTGTACTCACATTTTCAATCGAATTACTTTGGATTCCTTTATTGGTTAATTTTTAATTAGTTTTAAAGAAATTTAGCAATCTTTATGTAACGCAAAGTACAGTTTTATTAAAATTTCAATAATGTCTGTCAAAAATAAAATATCAGTTTTCGTGAAAGTGTCATTTTCTAGCAATAAACACGAAAACAGTAAAGATTTTTGTGCATGCTGGTTTGTACTACTACTTTAGTTACAACACTAAGCATTAATTTTACTTTGTAAGTTAATCGCAAAAAAGGGCGTTTATCGATCTTTATTGGAAGAAAATTTTAAATGTCTAATACAAATTCAAGAACTTTATAATAATAATTCAACATTTGAAATCTGATAAAACCCCTCAAATTTTATCCATTCTGATTATATGTTAAGTAAGTTGGAATATTGTTTTAAAATGAAATCGCGACTATAAAGTGTTACGTGCCCATTCTTAGCTTTTAAGTAGTCACGAAGTTTTTACTGGAATTTATTTATTTAAGGTGAAACAAGCTATTTTGGAACTAAAAAGTAGCATTGTTTTTACAGAGACAGGCGTTATTTCTTAGGAAATATAATAATAGCAATCAAGCGAGCAAAACAAAATTAGACCAGAATATTTGGTTGGAATTTTTTTTTAATGAATGGTTAAAAAAATAAAAACGTGGCTCCATAGAAATGCTGCATTACCTTTTCATCCGCCTACACTTTACTATTCCTTACAGAACTTCACCAAGGGTTCACAAATTTATGGAATAATCACAATAAGCCTGGGTTTCCGATGTAAAGGGATAATTAATAATACTATGTACTTGGGCTCGCATCACAAAACAAGCACTATAGATAAAATTATTTATGACAGCAAAACAAAAAAAAAACACAGTAAAATCAATAGTAACGTTACCCCAACACAAGATTCAGTACTTACCATTATGACTTCCGTAGTTCCAGTTATAGGGTCCCGACAATTCTTAAAAACCTTTATTTCCTGAGTTCATCAAGAGAGTCTCAGGATATACTCAACCCTATGATGGCGGCGGCCACGTCAATGTCGTTAACTACGAATGGAACAATGAGTATTTTCGGCATTTTTTTTTTTCAATAAGTAACTAGGAAATATTAAAAATGAAAATACTTGTTGTGAAAATTACTTGTCTATATAAAAAGTTTTTGTTTTACTAAATAACATCATTGATAATACGAAACTAAATTTTGCACCGCACTCATACAGAATTCTGAATTCATAAGGCTCGTAGCTTAATTAGTAAATATATTATTTCTTCGGGCAATATATTAAAATTTGAAGCTAACAATAATAATCTTAATTTTTTTTGAAAGATTTATCTGCATTAAATCTTGTACTTAACATGTGGTTAGCGAATATTGTATAACTTTTATATTCAGGGAAGATAACTCAAACCAAAATGTCAACGTTGGCAATTCCAACAGGTACATGTGCCAATTGGAATACACAGAAATATGGAACTTGTAAAAGAATTGCTGTTAAACAAACAAAAAAAATAATAATAAGTAAATAAATCTGTATAAAATATATTTTTTACCAGAGTATGGATAATTATTTTGAATTCTTAAAGATTTTGCTAAAACTTAGTTGTTGAATGAAAAAAAAATTACTTTTTTTAAAAGAAACTTTTATCTTGAGTTTTTATAAAATAACTTAAAAACTTTAAAGAGTTATTCTTGATGAAAAAAAAGCCAAAGGGCATGCATGTTAACTTAACTTAACTTAACTTTGCACTATAGTAAGTCAATAAATAATAGTATTTTATTTTTAGTGTAACTAACAGCATCGTTTTCCGGTAACTGACGAGCAACAATTTACAACTTTAAAGTTGTTTGTTTTGTTGCTGTTTTTTGTTTTTTTTAACCTGACTGCAATAAAAACGATACGACAACAGGAGAGCATTTATTTAACTCTGAATGTAATTTCAAATTCGAGCTATTCCACATTGATTGTAATAATAGAAATACTGAAAATTGTAAAACTAAAATTATTCTGGACATCAAAAAGAAAAAAATTGACTGTATCTGTGTGGTTTCAACACACATTCAATAAAATTCTTATTTATTCTGGTAAACTTTGAGGTTTCCCCTTTGGAACATTGATTTTACAAATTTAAGCACAGTACTAGATTGGCAGCTAGGTCTCATTATTTTACAGTTGAAATAGCTACATTGCTAGGAAATTTGTCCCGGCTTTCCCACATCAAAGGGTTGAGGTTAAAAATTGGGTTGAGGTTTAAAAAATTGCGAAAAAAAAATGAGTAAAACAGCAAGATTGGAGCGGACAAACTTTCTCATTTAGGTGCGTACGAATAAAGAAAAAACTCCTGCTCGGTGAGTAACAACAAAAGAAGAAAGTGTCTATTTACAACATATACAGAAAAAAAAGGTAAAGGGATGAAAGGACAATTAGGAGAGAAAGAAAGGGTAAAGAAAAAATGTTCTTAACTTAAAAAAGGCTTGCTCAAAATATTTCTCTGAGCGCCTAAAGATTTCTTTAAGTGATTAGAATATTATTGTTATGGTTCAGATAGAAACACTCACAGTTCTTGTAGAGTGGGAAAATTGTTCGCAGATGAAGGAATCCCGCAATTTGAGTGAGTTTGTAGGTCGACGACAGAAGTCCAGTGGGCTTGTCAGAAGGAGTGGTGATGGGATGCAGCTTTGGATTGGTCTTGAATTGTAGACCGATGTTCATTCTTGACAGCCCTTTAGTAGTAGTTCTTTGGTGAAAGAGGGTCTGGAGTTTCCTATCATCGACCTCACAGACGGTGGGCAGATTTCTCACTGTCAAAATAGGCAAAATTCTCCAAATTTATGGATTTTTGGGAGGCTCCAATGGATCGAGGACTTTTCCCTCCAAAATCGTTGTACAAATTTCCTGGCCCCTCTATTAGTCAGAAAACACATTCTTATCTCTGATAAGAATCAGGGATGTGGTAGCCGGTTTTGAAGGTACTGAAAACAGGTTGAAGTAAAGAAGCTGTGCGGTTTCTCCCAGACTTTATGGCACCATGGAAAGAATAATGGTGGTGGAATTCCTTTTTATTTTCCAGCTCTCTCATTAGTCAGAAAACATATTCTTATCTCTGATAAGAATCAAGGCCTTGGGAGCCGGGTTTTGAAATTAAAAAGAGGTTGGAATGAGGATAGAAAAAATAGTGAGAATGTGAACTTGTGAAATTGTTATTCTCAAATTAAATTCCAACATGTATGTAACTATAATTTCTATGCGCTGTTAAGCTTCTTGTTTTCTAGTCAACTTTGATCTTCAAATATTTAAATGCATTGTTAATCGTCATCTTCTGTCTCCTTAAATCCCTGTTCTTTTATTGGTCTTGAGTTTTTTTTTCTCAGATTCTTTCAAACACAGTAACCCATTGTATCTTGGTGGCTTTATTACCTTACTTGGAGTGAAATGATTAAAAAAAACAACTTGGGCCCCTTGGCATGGTGTAATGGTTAGCAAGCTTGTCTCACTAGATCAGTTATGACTGAAAAGTGAGTTCGATCCTCACTAGGTGCCCCATACATTCAGTCATGTGCCACATCTAAGCATCGCTTAGAAAAACAATAGGGCACCTTGAGGCAGTGTAATAGTGAGCAAGCTTGTCTCGCTAGAACAATTATGACTGAGTAGTGAGTTCGATCCTCACTTGGTGCCACATATTTTCAGTCTTGTGCCACATCTAAGCAGTGCTTTGAAAAACATTAGGGCACTGCAAAGTGGTGTAATAGTTAGCAAGCTCATCTTGCTAGAACAATTACGACTGAGTAGTGAGTTCAATCCTCACTGGGTGCCACATACTTTGGTCCTGTGCCACATCTAAGCTATGCTTGGAAAATCACTAGATACTTACCTGGTGTAGGGATCCATCCCTGCGCTGGTAGTATCACAGCTATGACTAGCTTGGACCAGCTCTGACCAGCCCTAACAAGCTATGACCAGCTAAGACCAGCTTGGACCAATGGCCCGAGTGAAAACACAAGGATCTCCATGTTAAAAAATGACCTTGTGTCACAACCTGACTCAGTTGGGTGTCAAGTAAATCTCTACTATTTTACACCTTTCCAAAAAAAAAAAAAATTCACAGGTATCAAATTAATGAAATATCTTCCCCAGCCTCTTCAGATATTAATTCAATATAAAACCTGTAATTAAAAGAGACATGCGGATCTATTACACACGAACATACATACATACAAAAATACAAATCACATACGCCAAGCATTCATTGGTTAATTAATCACCACTACGTTATTATAGACAATTTACAAATCGCAGCAATGCGACAATTTTGTAATCGCTCTATTTTTATGTAGTCAGTTTTGTACACTTTTGGGAGAAATGGATTACAGAAGCTTTCTTAATTCTCCCCAAAGTTCACTCGCTGACTGGTTGATGCCAACCAATCAGATCATCTGCATGTGAAGAATAATTCTTCCCACGCAGCGATCTGGAGCCTACAGTCACTTATTTAAGCAAGAATTTTTTAACCCTTTTTAATGAGATTTCAGCTGCCAAATGAATCTATGACAGTTGAAAGCGTGCACCAACCTTCTCACTCACTCACACCACTCAATATACCTTGTATTTACTCACATATTCTTTTCTTACACAGCAAAAGCTTTCAAGAACAAACATTACAAGAGACTCTCATGAACATTCTTCCAGTGAACTTTGGAATACTAAAATAACAGCTAAAGAGGGACAACGCTTGTTTTATTCAACCTTTTCTTACTTAAATGCATGCTTTCTTTCACATCGTTGTTTGATACTGTACATCTTGTTAAATACATATTTTATGTGTAACAATGACTTTTGGTTATCCATTTCTGCATCAGCCCTGTTTTCTAATCTAAAGTTAAATTAATGTGGTGAAGGCCACCAGAGACATATATGATAATGGAAACAATATTCACATAGAGGATCTCTGGGAAGCAATAAAAACTGATGTAATGTTAAAATTGAAACAGAAAAATTAACAAAATTTATAAGTGAATAACTAAGGAGCCAATGTTAACATAAAATAATTTATTCAAGTATATTGGAAAATCACTAGATACTAATGTTAATCAAGTGTGTTTGAAATGGAATTATTTATACCTTAATGATTGGTATAAATTTGACTTATTCAGATGTTACAGATCATTTTTGGTCATTTAATGCCAGTGTTACTCTTCTAAATGAGAAATTTTCTTTTTTGGTATGAGTTCTAAATAAATGTTAGGCTTCACTAGAAAAGAACCAAATTCTTTAGTTGTCCAATAAATCTTCTTTAACTATTGAATTTCTGTCAACATAGATAATTAACTGATACTCATTATTAATGTGTACATATTTTCAAATGTTTATTGACATAGTTTTATGCAAGTATAATATATTCAGTACAACAGTAAATCTGTTTTCAATCATGTGACGTACAGTAAAGTGTATTAATTTGATTTGGAATAAATTCTTTCATTTAAATTGAGTAAAGAAAGTATATAACTGATGTAAAGAGCAATAGCTAAATGTGGTCAGTTATTCCGGAATTCTAGTTTCGCATTTACGAACAGAAAGTTGATAAAGAATACTTAACAGTGTAACCCTGAAACTGATGAACTTTTACACGTCACGAGTAAAATGGCGGAGGCCGTTGAGTATTTACCGAGCTGGTACGTTGTATTATTATTATTTTTTTTGGGGGGGAAGGAGGGTTCTCTGTCATACGGTCAGGATAAACGAACGAAAATAATTTGAGAAACGATCAGATATGGAATATGGATCTGACTCTTGTATAGGCAAAGAATATATATTATACTACATAAGTAGTATGAGAGTGTTGTACCTTTTTTCTTTACTGCTAGCTCTGCCTGTTAATAATCGTCAACCTTTTTTTTCTTGTTTAGAATGAGCAGATGGAAAAGCATATTGATACGGTTTTGATTGTTGATAGCGACGGAAATACCTCAGAATTTTTTGTCATTATTGCAAAAAAAATACTATAATGACAAAAACATGTTTTGACTTGTTTCCCGTTTTCATCATTTGCTTCAAAAAGGGGATAGAAAAAGAAAAGATTGTCAAAACGAGTGTTAAAATTTTAAAAAATGATTTTAGTTTTTTGCGCTATTACAATTTGTTATAAAATATTTCTTATGAATAACAAAATATGACACTTAAAGGAGTGTATGCTAACAATTTTCCTAAGTAACTTATTTCTAGAAATTATTACTAAGCGATAAAATACGTAGCAGACCGAACTCTACTATTCATATTGAATCACTTTTTCTTTGATCAAATTTAGTATCAAATCGTACCGTACACATTTTAATTTTCTTTTAAAATAGGTAACATTTCGCATTTTTAAAATCGTGAAGTGTTCTTTAATTAAAAAAAATAATTTCGACAGAAGAATTAACGCACGTAATCTTGAAAATTTTATTTGGATTTTCATATTGAGTTTTTTTATTTGCTTATTTCTGGAGCTTATGATTTCCATGTATACTTTGAAATTCCGTACGAAAGAAATATAAAAAAAAACACTGATTTACGCAGGGATTTTTTAAGGGAATCTACTTTTTTTCAAGAAACAGATGTTTTTGTTTATGACGTTTCATTTACTCCTTTTATCAAATTCAAATTCCTTTGTATTCACAGACATTTATTTTTTAGTGGCTACATCTTCATTCAAAATTTAAATAATAATGTGTGTGATATAACTGTTAGTTAAATTTTGAAAAAATAATGACATGCAGAGAAAATTTTCCATTTAGTAGAAAAGAAATAAAAATATCGTTTCACTTAGAGATTATGAAGTGTTGATCTTTTGACTTTTGGTCTTTACATTATTTTGCTTAAAAAGGAAGGTGTGTCCAGAGCATGTCATTCATTGTCATGTCATAGCATCGTTTTGGTTTTACAAAAGTTTGTTTTTTTTATACAGGAAGAGATTTTCAGCATCAAATACAACAATAATCTTAATAATAAATGAAAATCAAATTTCATTTTTTTTTTTAATTATGACAATAAAACAAAACTTTTTTCCACACAACTCTTCGATGTGAAAACAGGTCGACATTTATTTTTTAACCTGATGCTTTCAAACTAAAAACAAACAAATAAGTTAAAAAAGAAACCGTAATAAAAATAACTTAAAAAATGTTACTCAGACATATCGTAAAAAAAAAAGAAAATACTGATTTCAATAATAAACTAAAGTTAAATTTCACCTAAAGTACTTTAAAAATACCTACATGCCAGTGTGAAGTTAGGCAAAAAATTAACTGAAAAAAAGCATTTAAAAAAGTTTGAGTTCTTATACGCATCAATATTTCAAGAAATAACATTTGTATTGAATACTAGTAACAATAGATTTTTTTTTCATTTTATTTATTTATTTTTATCACAATTGTATAATTGTCGTTATGCCAAACTGAACCCTTTATCTCGGGCGGTAGAGTTTTTTTCTCGTTCCACTGACCATCTTTCTCCAGAGATATCGCGTCTAGTTCTTATTGATCAGTTATTGGATTGCTCATCGTTTACACTAAATCCAGATGTTACTATATCGCTATAATATTCACAAACCAACGATTTCTTTAATAATCTACTTAGTAGGATATTGTTTATTGCAAGATACCTAAAAAAAAAAAAAAAAAAGTTGGTTTAAGAACTACACTGGATAATGATATTTTCGATTGATTTCTTTGAACTTAGGTTTTTAAACGCATAACGAAAAAAATATTATGTAAACTAAAGGTTGCTCATCAAATGCCACCAATAGTATTTTTTTATCTGGTTAAAACTGGAAGCAATCAACTTTTGTATGCATTATGTTTCCGTTAATCTACAACGGAAAATGTGAATTTCATTTTTTTTTTTTTTTTTTGTTACGTCTGTAGTGGTGGTGGGGAAATAGTGTCGTTGAAAATATCAATGCGTCGTTTGCTAAATTTGTAATCCTAAATATATAGTTTTTAACTTTATCTCAAAAGAGAAAAAAATGATACCTCAGGTTTAAAAATAGGTAACTCCAGATCGCTAAAAAAAATAGCATAGCATGATGAAAAAGACGCCAAACTTGACGAAAAAAAATTTTATCGTAATGTTTGTTACCAAAGTTTTTTTTAATTATTTTAAATTTTTTTCCTTCTTTTTAGAACATTCTAAATTTTGATTTAAAAAAAAACAAAAAAAAACTTATTTCTCTTTGTATCATCGGAACTAGTAAAATAACAATTTTTAGCACTTTTTTTTTTTGTATGACAGACATTGTCACATTACTTTGGAAAATCTTGCAAAAATAAAAATAATTGTCGGATGTTAATGAAACTTTCAGAAACTATTCATATTCAGAAACTATTCATAGATGATGGAAATTATTATAAATGTTGTTTTTTTTTTGTTTTTTTTTTTATTCATGGCAGAGATATTTTTTTTTATATTTGTTACCTCCCCCCCGCCATAACTAATTTTATGAAAACTCTAGAAATTCGATCGAATACAGTTTAGTGATTACAATAAAAGCACAAAGCTTTGAGGGATGCAAATCATTTTTTTTTGTTTTTAATTGGCCCCCCCCACCACCTGAAAATCAGCTCTGAATTGTAACATACAAAAGTAACAAAACTCAATAAAACAAAGATATTATTTAATTTCAAATGCTTTTATGAATATGGACAATATTTTCTGAAAGCAAAAAATTTTTTCGATGAAAAATGAATTTTTAATACGATTATTCGTTATTTCTTTAATTAGATTTTTACATTTTTAAGTTGTTAAAATATTATAAGATTAGTTAAAAGCCGCATCCACTTTCGTAAATGTCCTTCTTATGAGATAGATCTTTTTTTACCACATTGTAAATTGTATAGTTTTACTTTTGACTAATCAGAAGACCCACAGTAATTAAGAAATGTAATTTTGTGTTTATAATCGGGCTGTAATTATGAAGTACCAAAGACCAACCAGAATACAATTAAGTTGCGTTATTTGAGTTAAGCATTGTTCTCCGCTGTTTAAGGCCTTTACTTTTGAGAAACACGTGTGGAGAAGTTAATTTGATTTTTCAATTTCAACTGAGAAGGGTACCTACAAGTATCAGTATCATCTTATGAAATTTGATCTTATTTTTATATTAATCTCAATTATGACATTTTTCCATAAATGAAATATCAAAATTAATAATAAAATGAATGGAAATACAAATAAATGTACATAGAATTATAGTATTTTATGTACACTTCTGATAAAATTTCATAAAGGTACCCATAAAAATTAATTAGATACCTTATGAAATTTAATCTCACTCTTAAATCTTATTTTAATTTCTTTATAATATATTTTCCATAAAGCATCGTAAACATAAACGTGAAAGCTAAGTACAAAAAAAAAAGCGCTTAAAGTTTTCCTTAAAAATAACGAGATTAAATAATTTGTTCATTTGAAATCTAAATAATTTCACTTCTCTCCTTCTGTAGAACAAATTATCCTCATGTAATCTGGCAATACATCATTCATCACCTGTCAAGTGACACGAAAGGTTATGACCTGCATGGTTTTAATTTCAAACTACATCTTTTCGGTGCAGAAGCTAAGTTAAGCTTGGTTCAAAATATTTTAAATAAACATTATAATTTCTGATTTTCTTAAAATAAGTTTTGAAAAAATGATAATTGATTTTTAAAAGAATTTCAAATTGAGATATTCATTTTTTTTTTTTATTTTTTTTTTTATAAAATGAAAAAAAAAAATGGTTGGCAAGATTTATTATCTATCAATCTTGTTGACAAAAAAAAATTTCAGACGTGCTAGGAACAATTAAAAAATGTAAAAAATACTCCCAAAATACTTTGATCTTTCCTCTTAATAATAACATAAACATTTAGACAATAAAATTTTGTTTTCGTCAAGTTTGGCATCTTTTTCATCATGCTATGCTCTTTTTTAGCGATGGCGGTACCTATTTAAAAATATTTTTTTTTTTTTTTTTTTTTTTTTTTTTTTTTTTTAGAGATAAAAATCTCCTTTTGAAGCTTTTATTTTAGTTTTAATTCAAGCTAATAATAGATTAAAATTATTTAATATTTCCAATAAACAAAATATTTTGCTGTATTTCAAACCGAATTTAAATTGATTTTCAGTAAAATCGTCCATATTGATATCAATTCTCTTTGAAAAAATTTTCAAAAATAAAATATGCTTTTGTGAAATTTTATTTGAGGAAGATTAACTGATTTAAAGTTTAATTAATCTGACTTAAAAGAAATATTACTTTTAGTTTAAAAATATTGCAGGAAAGCATTTTTTATTAGACAGGTAGATGTTTCTATTATCTGTCAATCTGATGTTTGTGAAATTTATATAAGGGGGTAATAATTGTAGTAAAATTACATGACAAATATAACGTAAATGCCTTTGTGATTTTTAGATAATTTTTTTTAACTACCCAATAATCTTTAAAAATTTAACATTTTAAACATTCTAATATTTTATTGGATTTTAGGTACTTTGACTTAGGAAAATGCTGGTTGAGGAAATGTTAGAAAATTACCAATAAATTTTAAATTTACTATAGTTACCACTCTTATTTTCTGATATGGACATCTACAGAAATCGGCACGTTGATACGCAGACAAAAAATTCAAAATTCTTTTTAAAATACTGGGAATAG